AGAGCGGCACGATGCGAAGAGCGCACAGCGGCACGAAGTCCGACCACACGCGCAGCCTACGCTGGAGCAAAGCTGGACGAAAGATTGATGCGGCACGCCAGTGCGCCCACCATACAGAGAAGTTGCTCTGGGAGGCGAGCTCCAACCCGACGAGGGAAGCCTGGGCCCGCGAGGGAGGCCAAGAGAGCGACGCACAAACGACATACCCCAGCCCCGAAAGCGTGTGATCAATGATGGGCCGACTTTCCACCACCACTACCATAGGTAAGAGAGGGAGGAGGGAGGAGGAGGAGGAGGAGGAGAAGGAGGAGAAGGAGGAGGAGGAGGAGGACAAGGAGGAGGAGGAGGAGGAGGAGGAGGACCTCCCCGTCATCCCTTCTCTCCCGTCTCACCTATGGTAGCGGTGGTGGAAAATTGGCCCATCAATCAAGAATGGCAATCGTGCATCATCTGACTAAGGCACAAGCCGACAATGTAGATTTGCCTGCGAGCCGCGTCCACATATCGAAAACGCCTACGGCGAACCACCGCCGCCCCCTGCCTTACGGAAATTCCTATGAGGCCAAACGTTGGACCGAAGTCGTGTCAAGCTATTGGAAGACGCGTCCCCTCAACCGTTGTGGAACCCCTTGGAGGAACACTTGGGAGAAGAAGAGAAAGGAGAAGGATAATGATGGCGAGGAGGAGAAGCAGGAAAAGGAAAAGGATGCATGTTGAGGCAGTCTTCTGGCTTCCTGGAAGTTTCCTGGAAGCCGTTTGGGGGCCTGTTGGGGACCTCTTGGAGGCTTCCTGGAGGCCTCTACGGGACCTCTTGGCTTGGCCTTTGGAGGCCGTTTTGCGGGCTCTTGACCAGTCTTGGGTCTTCTTGGGCCGTCTTGCGGGCATCTCGGGGGCCTCTTAGGCTGTCGTGGGGCGACCTTGGGATCCCATGGGGCCTTGCTGGAGCGCCAGAAAAAGACGAGAAGCCTAAGGAACATCATTGCGTTGGGCCTTCTAGAAATCCTATTCGGACCCTCGCATCTTGGGCCGTCTGGAGGGCATCGTGGGCCGTCTTGGGGCCAGATTGGCCGTCTTGAATTTGACTTGGGGCCGCCCTGAAAGCCATCTCGGCCGTCTTGGTGGCAATATCGGCCGTTTTGGGGAGATTCGTTGTGGAATTGTCGGGTCTCTCTGCGCGGCCAGCCAGAACGGCCGAGACCTTTTTGGGAAGTTTTAGATAAGGCTTACAGTGGAGGCCGATGCCAAAGAAACACCCGGCTTGCCTCCAGGGTGCCCTGGTGTCTTGGGCTTCGATGGCTTTACAATTGGGAGCGCGACGTTCCCAGACCAGAAGTCCATGGACGTCCTGGGGTCTCAGGATCGAATATACTGTGGAAGGTCTCTTGTGGAGTGACCTCCACTGTAAGGCTTAAACCCTTCAAAGGCAGAACAGTCGCTTTTCTGCTAAATCCAAAGGAGGCGGCGGATCGAGTGGCATTCGGCCCATTCCGCTACCGTGCACAGGTCGCTGACAAGAGGTCTCCTGAATGCTTTTTGGGGAGCGTCTTGGGAGTCTTCTGGAGGCCTCGTGGGGCACTCTTGGGGGCTTTGAAGGTGAGGGGGCCTTTGATGGGGGCGTCTTGAGGACCTGGCGATTTCGATTGCCGCCGACAGGTTGAGGTCTCCAAATGGGAGCTTCGAGACCATCTTGGGGCGGTCTTGGGATTATCTTGGACTCTGGGCCCCAACATAACCCCAAGATTTTTCGCAGGCTGTTGTTTATGTTTGGCTCCACCAGGGCTTGACGCAACTGGTGCGTCGGATGGCCGTGTTGGGCGGCCACGCTCGCAGCCCGCCAGCTGACAGTGACGACGTCGGAGCTTTGAGGATGGCGGCGGCTTTTACCACGCTCGAAAAGAGGATGGCACGCGATCTCAGAGGAAATCGCAAATGAGAGGGACAGGCGCCAGCTCACTGGCGTCGGCGCTCCGACCCCAGCACATAGCACAGCACACTGGCGGGAGAGAAGCACCCTCTGGGGGGAGATTTCCAGTGCCCCTCCAAACGAGATGAAAGTGGCAATGTGGCTGATGGTTACGTTGTCGGGATGGTGGCTGATGGTGACGAAGATGGTGATGAGTATGGTGATGCTGATGATGATGAAGTGTCCTTCACATGTTGGCGCTGAATTTCCAATGGCTGATCAGCAGGGCGAAGCACTGCAGCCCAACATCACTGCCGCAGCATATCTTGCTATCGTGTGTGGCACTCTCTGAATTGAATACAGCAGGGGTGGTGAATGCTCGGAACAGCTTGGCAGAAGCATGAGCAACAGCAGGATCAGGAGCAGTGGCGGCATCAGGAGCAGGAGCCGCATCAGGAGGAGGAGGAGGAGGAGGAGGAGGAGGACAAGGTAGAGGGTGTGAAGGAGGAATAGAGAAAGGGGAGAGCGCCAGCAGCGGAGGAGGAGTAGGAGGGGAATTCTAGACGCTTCGCATAATCCCACCAGCCGATCCAGAGACGATGCCCAGAGGAGTTGCTTCGATCAGGAAAGTGGGCAGCATACAGAAGAAGGGTGCCTCTTGGAGCGCTATTGGGACACTCTGGGGCGCTCTTGGAGCCGTGTTGGGGTTCTGTTGGGCCTCTCTTGCGTCTTGGGGGCCTCTTGGCGGTCCTGGGGGCCTCTTGGAGCGTCTCGGGTGCCTCGCGGAGCCTCTTGGGGCCCCTTGGAGGTCTCTTGGTAGCCTCTTGGAGGCCTCTTGGGCGCATCTCGGGACCTCCTGGGCGCCTCTTGGGGCCCTCCTGGGGCCCTCTTGAAGCGCTCTTGGGAGCCTTGGGAGCGCTCTTGGGGCCATCTTGGATGACATCGATCAAGCAAGAGGGGAGCTTCAATTAGCGTCGCCCCTTGGGGGCCCCAAAAGTCACCTCTTGGGGCGCTCTTTCGTGGAGCGCTCTTGGATGCTCTTGGGGCCGTATTGAGGCTCTCTTGAGCCTTTCTTGGGGCCTTCTCGGACCATCTTGCAGCCATCTGTAGGCCTCGGACGGCCATCGGAAGCGAAAAGGCGAGAAAGCAAAAAACAGTGTTTCCCCTCGGTTTGGGACGGATTTGGGCCTCTTCGGGGCCTCCTTGGGGAGCTCTTTGGCCACTTGGAGCCGTCTTGGAGCGGTGTTGGGGCCTCTTAGAGCATCTTGGGAGCCATCTTGAGGCATCTTGGGATAGCTTGAGCCATCTTGGAGGTCATCTTGGGCTCTCCGAGGCGCTCTTGCAGCCATCCTGGGCCATCCTGGTCGTTCCACCCCCTCGGGGGACCCCCCCCCGTCCAGGCCGAGGGGAGGGGGTAAGGGGAGGGGCAACCCCCTCCCCGAAGGGGAAGAGGGGCAGATGGAATACAGAAAACCCTAGACCGCCTACGCCCTAAAGGGCTGGTGGGATTCGAACGACGACGACGACGACGACGACGACGACGACGACGACGACGGGCTCTGCCCAGGCGGCGGGTCGCGGCGGCCTGGGCGGCCTGGCAGGCGGGCGCGCGCAGCCCCCCCACCCCCCTCCTCCTCTCCCCCGTGTTCCGCCCAGGAGGAGGACGGGGACGAGGGCGTGCGCCGCTGCTCCTCGTCCCCCGCCTTCGGGTCCCCTTCCCGCCCCACGCCCCCAGTATCCTCCGCATTCACATCCTCCTCCTCCTCCTCCCCTCCTCCTCCTCCTCTTCCTCCTCTTCCCACTCTGAATGGTTCCTGCTACCGTCTCCCTTCTCTCTCCTCCTTTTCCTCCACTTCCTCCCCCTCCTCCCTCCTCCTTCCTCCTCCTCCTCCTCCTCCTCCTCCTCCTCCTCCTCCCTCCTCCTCCTCCTCCTCCTCCTCCTCCTCCTCCTCTTCATGTTCCTTCTCTTCCTCCCCCTCCTCGTCCTCATCCTCTTCATCATCCTCCTCCTCTTCCTTCTCCTTCTCCTCCTCCTCCTCCTCCCCGTCCAGACGTTCACTGATTCAGGTCAGCTCTAGGATGCCAAGCCGGTGGCGTGGTGATTTGGCCGGTCACGGATCTCACCAGGCCGCACGACCACGCGCCGTTGCATTGCCAGTTGAACCGAGGTCGCAGGCCGTCGGCTCTGCGGATCCAGTTTTAGGTGGTCAACAAGCAGCAGCTATCGGAGTTGGTCCAGGCCCTCTGAAAAACATGCCTGAGTCCACGAGGGCGCTCGGCAGGCGAAAGAAGGTGTAACAGACGACGGCCCATCGGCCTCGCAAAAGATGTTGTCTTGATGCGTCGCTGCCCTTCGAGCGATGACCCAGGACAGCCGCCCCGTAGTACTTAAGCTGTTCAAGCATTCCCTGAGTTCGGTGTTGTCTTATTGACGATAACGGATGCGTATGGAAGGGTGATGTTAGGCTTATGAACAGGATGAGGGCCATGTTCGTGCAGATGTTGGCGGAGGAGGTGAAGGAGGTGTGTGCCAGCCCCCAGCGCTCCGATGAGAACAAAGGTCAGACGGGCCAGATGCGTCATACATATATATATATATATATATACATACACGCCTATGTGTGTACATACACATACATACGTACACACATGCACAGAGACATACACGTTTGGCAATCACGGAATCGCCGAGTCATTATCTCTGGAGCGGGGGATCCTGACGCCAGCGTTCTTGGTACACTGGAAGCTGGTACGGCGCTTCTCGCCGATGAAGAGCGTGACGTCGATTATGATCGTCTTCGCTATGCAAAATGTCGGTTTCCGTTTCTGAGATTTGCCCACAAGGCTTCGGACCAGTTTTTTGTGGGAGGCGACGTATGAACAGTTGTACCAGGGGCTTCCGATGTATCGGGGCTCGTCTTTTGGGCCTGTCGGGGTTCGTTTTCGCTGCTATGTCAACTGCGGGAAGTTCGGCGGCAAAGTTTTGTCTTAGGCCGATCAGGCGCTACTTGCAGGAGAGGCGGACGACGATCTGTTTAACGAGTGTTCGACCCCTTTCATTCCTAAGGAGGATCTGCAAGAGTACACCGACAAGTTGTTCAAGAGCCCGTTTGAGACTCGGCTGGTATGTCCTTGGAACATTGATCATAAGATATTGGTTGGGGGATAAACTGGGGTATCGCCAAGGAGGCATGTATTTCTTGTGCCGAGCTTCAGCGCGGTTCCGATATTCGCCGACATTCGAATGTGAAAATGCTGGAAATCTCGTCGTAGTTTGCGATATGGTTTTGTGTTTCGGGTTGGCGAGATGCTGGAGGCATCATGCTCAAGGTACGCGTTGCCTCCCGTTCTCTGAACCATCCGTGGCTATTGTGGGTCTTAGAGGTGATGGGGCCCCCAGGTATTATCGTCGCGGTTTTGAAGTTCCTGCGTCGGGAAATTCGGGTTACAGAAATGTTCGCCGGCTGTCTTCTTCCAGGATACGTTATCTCATGTGGGATAGAGCAGGGATGTCCTGCCTTGAGCTCGACCTTCGCGCTTGATCTGGACCCAGTGGTTCGGGCTTAAATGCGCGCTCTACATCCGCCAGAGTCGCGCCCTTGCTGGCTCGACGGTGACATTCTGCACGGCTCTAGGAACCCGTTCGAGAGTGCACCCAACTTGCTTGACATCATGAGGCGCCACGGTCTGGCGGCGGGGCTCTTATTCAGACACGCATGCGCGCGGCAAGTTGAGGAGTTAGGAGTTGACTCGGCGGACATCCAGGTCCGAACGAACGGCAAGTACCCAGGCGCGTTCTCGGGGCGCGGCGGAGATGGGGACGAGTCTAGATGGAAGGATATGATGACCAAGTTCGTGGGGAGATGTCGGGAGCTCCGTGGACTGGGTCTGGGATTCGTCGAAAACCGATTGACTATAAGTCTCTCGCGGCTCCCGCCATTCAGTTCTCTGCCCAGTTTTTCGAGCCGCTCGTCGCCCTGTGCCGGCTGGAGGACGAGCGCCTCCAGTAACTCGCGAATGGCCCCCGCCGCGCTGCTCCCCGGGCAGTTTTTCCCCTGCGCTTGGGCATCAGGCCGGAGGCGCTTCAGCTTCGCCAACAGCGCTCGGCCGCGAGGCACGGGGCCGCAAAGGAAGCCCCCGCACGTCCGAAGCTCATTCAGGTGCCCACAGAAATCGTCGAGAGCGACGAGCACCCTGAACGCGCATTTGCCCGTGTCCTCGCCCCGGGAGTCGCCGCTGCATCAGCCCGATCGCGCGACCAGGCGATTGGGCAGGATCACCAGAATGCCCGACTGCCTCGGGGAGATAGGTTTCCAGGCCGCGGTGCCCCGCAATGTCCAGCCCCTGCCCCCGGCGCGCAAGTCGGCGGGGTGCCGATAGTTCGGTCCGCTACTTTCCCGGGCCCTGAGGCTGCGAGCCGAGCGAACGAAACCATCTTGCAGATTAAGCCGCGCGGGATAAGTCAGCGCGCTCCGAAGTTCATGTTTTTTCGAGCGCTGCAAAGTCGATCGCGGAACACGACCCGCGCGCGCCGCCAGGGGCCGTCGAGGCGCTCTCTTCGGCGCGCCACTTCGAGCAGAGGCGCCGTGCTCCACCGCGCGCGGCGCCGCCGCTTGCCGGGGCTGTCTACTGGACGCCGCGGTTTGCGGGGGCCTTCAGAGGTCGCGCCCCAACTCGTTCCCCGCGGATCTGGGAACTTTGATATCCTGCGCCATAGCTGCACAAGCGCCTGTCACTGCATACAATTAAATCGAGCGGCGGCCAGGCGCCGCCAAGCTGCTCTAGGACCGCGCCAAGGTCATTGCACAGCGGCGCGCTGGGCCACGCCAAGCTTTGCCGAGGGGGGTCGCCTCCTCGGGCTGAGCCCACCTCCATGACCCCCCCCCCCCCGCCTATCTTCATCTCCCCCCCCTTCTCCCCCTCCATCCTTACCAATCCCCCCCCCCCCCCCACGCCCCCCTCTCACAACCATTTTCGCCCGAGCTCGTCGCGCCGCGGGCCCCGCCGTCGCGCCGCGCTGGCGCCAGCTTCGCCCAAGGGCGCCCGCTCGGCACTGGCGCGGCGCCCACCTCCGCGCCGCCCCGCCCCGACGCGCCCGCGGACGCGGCGGGCGCCCCAGCAGCCCCGCCGACGCGCCGTCGCACGCGCGGCCGCAGCGGCATTGCAGGGAACGGCGAGAAGGACGACGAGGCGAAGGCCGAGGAGGCGGAGGGCGTCGTCGTCGCGGAGGCGACGGCCGAAGCGGCCCCTGGAGCCGAGGCGGGGGGGGGCGACGACGTCTGCGTGGAGCTGCCGCGGGCCGAGCGGGCAAACGACCTGCCGATCGCGCGTGGGCGCGCGCGCCATGCGGGCGGCTATGGCACGGACGAGGGCCAGTTCCCGCGCGCGGCCCTGCGCGCTCGAGCGGGGCGCGGGGCCCCCTCGCGCAGCGCGCCGTCGGCCTCGGATCGCCCGCCGCGCGCCGCGGCCAGCACCCAGGAGACGGAGCTCGCTTCGCGCGGCGGTCGCGCTGTCGACGGTCGCGGCGGCCGTGGAAGTTCGCGTCAGCGTCGACGACGTCGCGGAGTGCGTCGTCGGCGCGCTGGGCCGAGCGCCCCCTCGCGCGCGCGAATTCTCGGCAGTCGCCGCGCGCATCCCGCGCCGAGTCGCCCCCCGACAGCCGCGGCCATTCGGGGCGACGGGCGGGGCGGCGGCTGGGCCGGCCCCCTCTGGTTCCGAAAGGAGGTTCGCGGACATCGACGCCAGTTCTTCTCTTCCTACATCAGCCCCCTCACTTTGCAGTTTCACGCTGGGCCGGAGATCTGGCGCTGCGGCGCGCGCGGAAGCTTCGCGGTCCAACGGCTGGCCGAGATCGGGAAGGCGCGCCCAGGCAAGGCCGAGGGCAGGTGGAAAGTCCCCCTCAAGTGGATTTGTCGGGGGGGCCCGGCCCAAAGCCCACAGCGCAGTTGAGGGGGCGCATCGCGAGGCCCGATCATTCGAAGCCCATCAGGGGCCGACGCAGTGGCAATATCCGTAACTCTACAACTCGCACGTGTTACGCGACGCGCGCCCAAACCCACGCGCGCGCCTGCATCCCCTTGCCCCAGCGGCGCGCCATGTCGACTTGGACACACAGGGCAAGGTCAAGCACAAAGCTCAGACCCAGGGCCTGCCAGGGACACCCAGACCATTGAAGCACGGGGCGGATTCGTTGCAGCAGCCAGCGCAGGAGGCGTTCACGGAGGCAGGGAGGAAATACAGGCCCTCGAATCAAACCCGGACTCAGAACACCAGCAGGCGCACAATAAGCTTAGGAAGTCGCGCGGACGCAATTCGGAATCGGGCCCCCCAGTCAGGGCAAGGCCGCTGGAGGGGCCCTGCTTGGGCCCAACGAGCATCGCATCCTGCCCGCGAGCAAGCAGTTCGACGAGGCCAGGGGGGGATCCGCAGAATGAGGCAGGGCCGCGCGCCACACGAGGGCGACCGATCATCAGCGCCCCGCTAACATAGGGCGGACATCGCAGCTCAAGCGATGATTCTTCGTCATTGTCTCCAACTGCACATTCATAGTCTTCTCCCCCGATCGCATGGCAGCGCAATGAAGGGGGGCGCGCCATTTTCCC